TATTGTTAAATAGCAGTTTGCCAAAAGAATAATATGACACACAAATACATACATGTACACACATTTATACAAACACCCATACATACATGCACATAACCATGCATACACATACATACACACATATACACACATATACACACACATACATACATGCAAACACACAGTTTTAGATTTAAATCTACGAAAAACAAACACATATACAAGTAAAAAGTATCAAACATGGAAAAACGAATAAACAAGATATATTTTTATATCATGCATGTATGCATGTTTGTGTATGTATGTATGTGTGCGTGTGTATGTGTGTGTGCGTGTGTATGTGTGTGTGCGTGTGTATGTGTGCATGGTCCCGTCGATATGTTTGTAGTTTGCCATTGTTTTGTTGATTTGGTAGGTGCAACTAGCTTAAACTGGCTTTAAGCAGACTGAATTGGTTGCTTTTGTTGTTACGTTATGATGTTATTTATGTTAATGTTGTTGTTGTTATTATTATTATTGTTGTTGTTGTTGCAATTTCCTTTACATTCTTATTCATTGATAATTTATTTATTTGTCCGTTCGTCAAATGCTTAATGTGATTGCGAATACGTATGCATACAATGTATGTGAATGTGTGTGTGTGTGTGTGAATGTGGGTGGTAAATGTACGTTTGTGCGTGTGTGCATGTGCGCGTTTATACTTGTGTCCGTGTGAATATTTGCGAGTGTTTGCAGAAAAATTAACAAATACATACGTATACCTTAGAGAAGCTCGAGATGAAAATATCTAAAATTAACATAATTCATACGGCACGATAATTCTCATCACAAGCGTCCACATCGTCATCATCATCATCCTCATCATCATCATCATCGTCAACGTCATCATCATCATCGTCAACGTCATCATCATCAACGTCATCATCATCATCATCATCGTCGTCAGCATCATCATTCTCACCATCATCATTCTTATCATCATTCTCATCATCACTTCTCATCCTTATTATCATTATCAACGTCTTAATCACCATCATCGCCACTATCAACATCTTAATCATCATCATCACCATTGTTAACTTTTTATTTACCATCATCACCACTATCAACATCTTAATCATCATCATCGTCGTCGTCATCATCGTCATCATGAAATACACCATAATACTTTCCATGACAGGCCCGGAAAGAAGATGAAATTAACCATTTTCGTCAAACGAAAGAAGAGTGAGTAGTGAGATAGTTGACTTATGTATTAATAAAAATAAATTATAACGACATAAAAAAAAACCAATCCACTAAGAACGAAACAAAATTATAGATGAATAATAATATTTTATAATAAATATTTTCAAATAACCAGACCCATACGAGAATAGGCCATTTTTTTCGTCGTCGTCATCATTATCGCTCGCATCATCATCTCCGGCTCTTCAAACCGGAAACACTGAAAATAATAATAATAACAATAATAATATTATTAATAATAATAATTCAACTGCTACAACTACTACTACCAGAACCACCACTACTACAACAACAACAACAACTACTACTACTACCACTAATAGTAGTAGTAGTAGTAGTAGTATTACAAAATTGTTACCGGATGAAAAAAGATCAGTTGAGCATAACCTTTCAGATCTTTCCGACGGTTGCTCTATGGACTATAACATCTTGAATAATAATAATAATAATAATAATAACAACAACATCCATAATACTGTTAGCAACTTTGGAGACAATACAAATACGGCCGTTGCAGCTGCTTCTAATGTTACAGACAGTAAGAACATGAACGACAGCAATAATAATAATAACAACAACAACAATAACAACAACAACGTTAGCATTAATAACAACAGCAATAACATTAGCGTTAACAACAGTAACATTAACAATAATTGTGGTAGCGTCAACAATAGCAATAACAATTCGAGTACCGCCAACGATATCTGCCGGTTCAAATCGCCAAAAATAACCCATCGCTACCATTACGACTGTTCGCCTATGCTACGCTCGGCCTCTCTCAGCTCCGTCGGCCTACAAACTTTTTCGGACCCACAAAACAACAACAATAATAACAATAACAACAACAATAATAATAATAGCAGACATTTACAATATATTAACGAGGAGAAACAGCGTAGGCATTCTAGTAACGTGAATGCAGCACTGAAGCAACTGAAGCAAGTTATGAGGGAGAACTCTTCGCAGAGTCTTGGCGTCAGTGACAAGGGCATCAAACTGACAACTAGTTCGAGTTTGATCGCCTATAGGAACGCGAGAGCTGGTAGCGAGAGAAATGTTTCTAGAGGTCTCAATGATATGGAGATTACAGAGGCATCGACAACTGATGACGGTTTTGGTTTTTTTTATTGTTTGTGAAATTTGAGAAAAAAAAATTTAATCTTTCAAAATTTTTAAACAATGTCATTCATAGTTTTGTTATTGCCACCACTCGACAGCTTTCGAGCCGCTGATGCTGACAGAACTGACGACCAGACACCTGAAAATGAAACTAGCCCAGCTGCACCGGGTTCAACTGCGCAGTGTGTCTAACGTCTATTTCTGCCAGAAGGGTATTGAAATTGCCCTCACAGACGATGTAGGCGATCGTTTGGAAAGTTTATAAATAAATATGTAGTTTGTAAGTTGCGTAAAATAACTTTATTTGGTTTTTCTACATCCCTCTTTCTCTCTCTCCTCTCTCTCTCTCTCTCTATTCCTCTTTATTTTTTTAGTGATAAATATTATATTGAAATATGATTTTATTTTTAATAAATAGTCCATAGATTTTTAGTAACCATAAACTTTTTAATTTCAGAATACAATCACTGTCTTGACTTATATACACAATAAAATAGCGATCCATCTAGTTGAGCTTTTAAAATTAATCAGAAATATAAATATTTTAAAATAAATTAAACGTTATTTTTAATTATAAAATAATTTTCATTTAATTTTAAAAAAGTTCGTAAGAGAAATACCAGACTTAAGCAAGTACCTCACCTATAAGACAATAGGTTAGTGCAACTCATTTTTTTACTGAATAAATAAATTTTACTAAACTAATTAAATAAATAATAAAACTAAATAGAGTAATGTTAATGCCAACGGAAAGTAAATTTAAATAATAAAAAATAATTTTTCAAAATTCCTCTCTAGGTTATTCGGGAGAGTATACTTTGGTAATGCAAAAAGTTGCATGAAAAACCAGTTACAACCGGCCACATCATGAGATAGATGACTCACTTTGTTTCTCATTTGGTCTATTATTATTTATTTATTAATTAATTTAATAATTATGAATGAATATATGTACACACACACACACACGCACACACACAAAGAGAGACGAACACAAACTTTTATATGTTGGACAGTTATAATGGATGACTATTTAATGGCTTTATAACTCGACGAAGCTTTTCATTCAATGTAGAGCTGATGGTTCTCTCTCTCTCTTTCTCTCTCTTTCTCTCTCTTTTTAATTTCATTCTTATTCCATTTTTAACGTGTTTTTTTAGTTCCATACCCATTCCATTCTTTAATGGTTGACATGATTTTGTAACAGAGAAAAACTACACATTCAATGCTTCTTGACAAATCTATTTTTTTCAAAGAAACTGTATACGTATATGGGTTGTATATGCATGTATGTATGTGTAAGCCTGTATTTATGTTTGTATATGCGTGTGTGTGTGTCTGTACGTGTGTGTGTGTGTGTGTGTGTGTGTGTGTGTGTGTGTGTGTGCGTGTGTGTGTTTGTTGATACAACATTCAAAATATGAACACGTAACACGTGCTAACTAATACAATGACGAGAAAAATGACTATAAATGCAAAATGCGACAATAACATTTGAGGATTTAGATGATGATAATGATAGAAGTAGCAGCAGCAGCAGCCGTAGTAGTAGTAGTAGTAAAAGTAGCGGTAGTAATAGTAATAATATGATTAAATGAAAAATAATAGAACTCACTGCAAGAAGCGCCATTAAAGTGGAATATCAAGCCTTAATTGATCCATGCTTAAAACGATTATACAATTTAACACTAATCATTATTGTCCTCGATAACTCTACTACTACTATTACTGCTACTACTACTACCACTACCACTATTACCACTACTACTACTACTACCTACTACTACTACTATTATTACTACTACTACTATTAAGGAATAATTTTTAAATTAACTAACAATTATACACATAACCACAAATAAATTACAAATAAATCATTATAAATCCTAACTAATTCAATGAAATCTTCGAGATTAACATAATATATTAATTATCTCATTAACATAATATATAAACTATCTCATTAACATAATATATTAACTATCTCATCAACATAATATATCAACAATCGCCCCTTCTAATTACGCCGACCAATCATGAACAGGGCCCTACAAAGTTTGCCGGAAATATTCCCTGCGCCCCGTTCAGCTCTCCGTTCCACCACTCGGCGTGGGGTTTCGAAATGACAGTTATGACGTCACCACTTTTGAATGATAATTCGTCATCTCGGTCTGACTGAAAATCGTAGAGCACCAACATTTTTTCTGAAAAAAATGTTTTATATAAATTTGTGAGAGTTCGTTGTTTAATGTGGCAGAATGAACGAACCAGGTGCTGGTGCAGCGGGTACTTTCGATGCTTTTGGCCGTTCCGTGTTCTGTTGGTTCAAAAAAAGACAAACGTGTGCTTACATTATACAACTAACAAACTCTACAACAATCTCTACTACCATTGCTCATTTAATTAACTGAACAGTCACCAAATGATCAAACTACTAACAATACCTACTAATCAACAAATCAGCGTGAATCAACGAAACAATCCAATGACAGCCCAGGCCAATCAACCAACCAATCATCACAAATCAACCGACCAATCAAGTATCAACACTAATCAGTCAACCAATCAAATAACAACACAAATCAACCGACCAATCAAGTATCAACACTAATCAACCAACCAAACAATCAGCGGAATGTCTAGCTCCTCCTAATAATTTGACGTAACTCGATGGAAACCATCCAATCTTACGCTGTTGACCTCTCACCTGAAATTTGATTGGTTCAGGTAAAATTAATTAACATAATTTATGCAAAAACAGTTCCACCTCATTTACATAACTCTCCCTACTTACTTGTAACTCGCCTTCCCACCAGCCTGTTTCAGTTTTCTTTCGCACTTGCAGCAGATGGCCAGGCTGCAAAGTCAGCTGCTCTGGTCCTGTGGCTTCGTAAGCTGCGATTGCTGTAGCTATTTCTGTGTGTGCGTGCGTGTGTGTGTGTGTGCGTGGTGTGATGTGTGTGTGTGTGTGTGTGTGTGTGTGTGTGTGTGTGTGTGTGTGTGTGTGTGTGTGGTGTGTACCTGGTTTTTTCAGGACGGTCAACTTAGGAGCATCCTGGTGAAATTTGAATTACATTTTATACAAATTAAATATGGAACGCTATTTGAAATATTCAATTTTGATGTGAAAAAAGTTATTAAATGCTAACCGATAAACAAACTTTATTAACTGTATAAAAATTACAATTGTTTTAATAATTTGAAAAAGCAATAAAATAATCAATAAAAAAAACAAACAATCATACATACATTCGTTTGCTTGGGGGCGGTCGGTGCAGTGGGATGCTGTTGTTTCAGCTGTTGTTGCTTCTGTTGTTGCTGCTGCATGTACTGCTGCAGCTGCTGTTGAGTTGGTTTGCCCACAAAATTAGCTGGAAAAACCCCGAAACGTAATTGGTTAATGTTTCCTTGCCACCAATCCCCTTGATACTCGGTGACCTCTACCATCTCGCCCTGTTTGAAGTTCAAATCTCCGGGTTCGTTTGACACGTAGTCGTATAGAGATATGTAGAGGTTCTCCTGGGTGTCTAAGTTGAATGGTTGGTTGGTTGGTTGGCTGGTTGGTTGAATGATTAAATGGTTGGTTGGTTGGTTGGCTGGTTGAATGATTGAATGGTTGGTTGGTTTGTTGGTTGGTTGGTTGAATGATTGAATGGTTGGTTGGTTGGTTGGTTAGTTGGTTGGATGGTTGGTTGGATGGTTGGTTGGTTGCATGTTTGGTTTTTCGATTGATTGGATGGTTTTACAAGTGACTAATTGGATAAATTGAAGCTGAACGGATATTTACTGGTGACGTTGGATGTGATCTCTGAAGCCGCCCAGCTGTTTGTTGAAAATTAATTAACAATTAATTATAATTAATCAATCAATCAAATATAATATTCACTAAAATACTACTAATAATAATTTATTAATAATAATTGTCAGCTATTCATCGTATACATTTCAACTAGACTATAATAAACAGAAATAATAGATATTATTATGATAATTAAAATAAATTAAACTTACTTATCACTAGCTTGTTGCTGCTGCTGCTGCATATTATCAGCAGCTGAAGTAGTAGCAGCGACAGCCACAGCTGTTGCTGTCGTATCTTCAACCTTATAAATAAATATATATATATATATATATATATATATATATATATAGAAAGAAAGAGGGAGAGGGAGAGGGAGAGAGAAAGAGAGAGAGAGAGAGAGAGAGAGAGGAAGAGAAACCAAGAAATAGAGAGAGAAACAAGGAGAGAAAGAAAAAGAATGAAAATGAAAGAACTCTTTCTTTTATATTACTAATGCTATAATATTTTTTTTTATAATAATAATAATAAATGTTCCTCCAAAAAAAAAATAAATTACGTGTCTAACTTTTTGCACGTAAGATTCCGGGAAAACCCCACTTTCGCCATTTAGATCTCCTTTTACCCAGCCTTCCTCTACGCCAACTGTATTTGGGTTTACCTGGTTCGTCGTCATTATCATCATCATTATCATCACCATTATCATCATCATCATCATTATTATCATCGTTATCATTATCATCATTATCGTCGTCATCATAATCATCATAATTATAATAAGGGTTATCATCAATGATGTCATCATCATCATCATCACCATCATCATCTTCTTCTTCTTCTTCATTAACGTTGTTATCATCATCAACATACCATTCATTGTCCAGTCATCTTTGTCATCCTATTACAATACATAAACAATAAACACTCATCATCGTCGTCATCGTCGTCATTAAAGTATTATTATTAACATTAAAATATTATTATTAATATATATATATATATATATATATATATATATATTATATATTTATTATAATTTTAGTTATTATAACAACAACAACAACAACAATAATAATAATAACAATAATAATAATAACAATAATAATAACAATTATAATAATAATAATAATTGCTGTCGGCATTGTCAACTGAACTTACCCACACTATATCGCCAGGTCTCAGCGATAGTTCGTCAGTGGAGCGTGCCGTGAATTCGTACAAGGCTTGGTAGGCCACTAAGCCTAGAAGAAAAAAATAATAATAAATAATATGAACTCTCTTTTATTTCCAGAAAAACATAAAATGTATTAAAATGAGATAAAAGTCTGATTAAAATCTAATAAAATAAAATA